ATAGATAGATAGATAGATAGATAGATAGATAGATAGATAGATAGATAGATAGATAAGTGTAATAGAATATCTATAAATACAATGATGCTTCAACATTTAAAATAAGTGTATTTATTTATAAATATATAGTTATTTCAGAATAAATAAGATTCTTAAGCTGGAGGAAATTCCATCTGCATAGTTTTAGCTACTATCAACACAAAATTTGTTTTATCTACACAATAGACTACTCATGTGTCAGTATGAATTGCCATTAAAGAATTTCTTTCATCCTTTCAGATTAACATTAACACTCTCCTGTCCAATGGATCTCAAGAATTTCCCAATGGATGTACAAACATGTATAATGCAATTAGAAAGCTGTAAGTATGAGTGGCTTACTTTTTATGAGCATTTTTAAAATATAAAAGATGTGTGTCTTTAGTCGCTAGAACAGGTAATCTATTTTCTAACTCTTGGACACATGTTTATTGAATAAACAAATATAAAATGAGCACATCATTGAATACAAACTGCCATCTATATTTGCTGAAAGCTTGTAATAGCCCAAACGTTTTGTGCTTATCACCTCAGATGCTCAAAAACATATTTATTCTCACATTTTTTATGTGAAAATGATCCCTTAGAGTGTCTGGTAATTATGCATAAAGGTAGAGCTGATGACCACTAGCTGCCTGGCTCCATGCCTTATACGTTTCTATGCTTTGATGTTCGGCATTTTAGCTGAATATGCTACGTGTGTCACATGAGGAGAAAGGACTTTTAAATGTATCAAGACCCAAGCTTTCAAGTTTCCTTCAACTGTATTCCTGGTAAAGAGGTACCATTGATTAACACAAACATAGAGTCAAGTGCCAGGTGCATGCTTCGTGAAACATTTTTATAATAATATAAGCGGTATAATAGTATATACATATACATAATAAATATGCACATAGTAATTAGTATATAAATAGTTAACTGTTAATGGTTAACTGTTTAATCAAAGGGAACTAGTAGTAAATATATAATACTTTCTATAAATATGTTATAGCTCTTTTTTGGTTTTTGTTTTTTCTTAAGAAAGTACTAATTTGAAATCTCTCCTGAGGAAAACTGGAAAATGTATCTGCAGACATCAGGGTCTGACAGGCACATCTTGTAGTGAGATGGACTTGTCACTAGATGGCGTGCAAAACTCATGGGGGAAAACAAGGTCCAACCCTCTATCCCCAACCAGCACTGCTTTTCTTCAGGACATTAAATATTTATTTCGCTGATGATAACTCTCGTTTTTAAATTTTAAACAGTTTACTCTGTAAGTGTCTCTTAAATATTAAAGACAAGCATTGATAGAATGAAAAAATAAATGAAAGAAAAAAGCAATTTAATTGGGATATGAAATTGGTAATGAAAATGGTAAGTAATGAAAAATGTCTAACATTGCATTCTTTGGACTTCGTCCAACAAAACAAAGCAACTTTAGGACAAATAACTGTGTATCGTGATCAATGTTAGGACATAAAGAAAATGTGTGTGTGTGTGTGTGTGTGTGTGTGTGTACATGTGTGTGTGCATAATTTCTTTTTAATTGGCAAGAGAGGCCACAGAACAAAACAGTTCACTGGCTCCATGGTTATTGAAAGTTATTCTGAGGTCAAAGGGGAATTATTTAAACTTTAAGGAGCAAAGAAATTATGTGGTAGATGTTTTATATTTATTTATTACATGTGTGTGCACGCAGGTGATGTGTGAAGACAACTGTGTGCAGGTGCGCAGGTGCGTGCGGATGTGTACATGTGGAGGACAGAGATAGCACGTGTCTTCTCCAGTTGCTTCTCTATTTACTTATAACATTTACTTACCCTATTTACTTGGTTTTAGATGGGAGCTCACTGACTTGGCTACTGGCTATCCAAACAGAAACAGAAGCAAAACCTCTCGGTACCTTCCTATCTCTGCCTCCTCAACACTGTACTTGAAGGCACACTCAGGTTCTTATGAGTGTTTGAGGTTTAAAATCAGGTCCCCCTATTTACATAGCAAGCATTTCAACAAGAGAGCCATGTGCTAATGCCAAATGCTATACCTTGTAGATTTTTATCAATGAACCAAAATTATGTAACAAATTTTCATAATATTACAAGAACAGAGACAGAAAATAGGGACAAATCTCATCACTATCGTTCAGGACTGTAATTTTAGGTATTTGGGAGGTACGAGGATCATGAGTTCAAAACCAGCCTAAGCTACTTAATGAGCCCTTATTACAAAGTAAATGCATAACAGAGGGTTTTTAATGTCACTCAATGGCAGACAGAGCACTTGCTTAGCCCATTCAAGGAGGTCCTAGGTAAAAATGCAATAATCTCCCTCACAAATAAAACAAGAAGAAAGAAAAATGGGAGACAAAGGGTAATGAATGTAGAAAGAACAATAGTTAATTAATATAATGTGGATGTAAAGGTTCTGGGTATCTGTGAGTCACATAAGTAAGGTCACATAAGTAAGATCATGTTATAAACATTAAGAAACAATTGGAACATATGAAAAAGGAAATATGTATAGGACTATTAAAAAATGCAATCTTAGTATGTTTGCGGTTCAGCTTTACAGTCAAAGGCAGTTAGAACTGAAGATAAATTATTGAAAGCTATATGAATTTTGGTTTAGTTAATCAGATGACTTTAGGGAAAGAAAGCAAAATAACCACAAGAAACTACACACCTTTAAAGAAAATTTTCATGTCTAAGTTGTTAGGAAGAAATTCTAGAAAAAAAGTTGTCATAGATGACAAATTAAACATATTCCTGTCTTAAGAGGCTGTAGTGATCTCTATTGGCAACTACATTGAATGAAATTTAAAGAATGCACCATTAAAAGCTTCCTTCCTTGACAGAAACTGCTTCATCCATTAGTTAAAGTCCTTTAACAGATGCTGTGAGAATTTTGCACAAAGATGGTGACTAAGAGAAGGTAACTGAGAGTGAAAAAAAAAAAAGAGAGAGAGAAAAAAACTAGAAATGAAATGATCCCACATGTCTCAAAGTATATATTTATGACTTGGGACTAAAACTGTATGTCATTCACAGCAGGAGGAAGGAAATTGTTAAGGAAGAAGAATCCACAGGCAACTAACCAGAAAGGAGACCATGAGGCATTGAGGAGAGTGACTTAGTTATTGATGAGAGTGACTAGTTACTTAGTTATTCTGTGCTAGTGAATGGGTCTTGTTCATTCTACACAAGTGCTCTATTATTAAGCCACATCCCCAATCCCTACTATAATAATTTTAATATTAGAAAAAATAAATGTAGAAAACTACTACAAGAAAAGTAAAAATTATTTAAGATACTGGTTAACAACATGCAGTTCTGCAAATACATGCATTTTGCCATATAACTTCTAAAAATGGGGAGTGAAGTAAGAAAGAGTAAATTAGCAATTGAATGTACATAGAGAATGTTTGTGAGCAGTATGGATTACTGTGCAGCTAGAAGACTTTTTTTTCTTCATTTAGGGCATATTATATATGGGGGATATTACTCAAGACTATATTGAAAGTCACAAGAAAAACTACAATGAGCTTCTATGAACTGGTGAAGGCTTGTTTTCCCTTAAATGTTTTCAGTTTAGAAACATAATTTTTATGTGCAGATATTACTTATGACAACTGAGGGAAAGTCTTAGTGAAGGTAAGTGAGATAAGGGTCACTGACCTTCTCTGTCAGGTCTAGACAGTGCTAGTTTATGGACATTCAGATTCTACTGAATAATCTCTTTTAAAATATTTTGTAAATATTAAGCTATCTTTTCAAAAGACTTTATATTGATTTTGATTTTATTTAAAACAAATTTATGTGAAATACATTTGTACATTACTTTGTATTGACATGGAATTACTAAACCAGAAACACAGATCTATTATGACACAAGTTCTATCTCTAAAGAATTTATAGTACAAAGAGACACTCAGCAATAAGAAAGGTTCTGTATTTGACTAACAGTTTTTTATTCATATCATAAAAAATTGTAAATATGCCTCTCCTGTTCGTAATGCCAGTTGTCTGCCAAAGATGGCAAGATTATTAATCATTATCATAACCACAGAGCTTTAACTCTGTGCTCCATATCTACAGAATAACACAGTTGACACAGGGAGAAGACATCATTCTTGTGTAATATTTAAATAAATTTCAATTGTTGGAGATAAAAAGGAAAAAATGAAAAAAATAAAGGAACGCCAGTACCAAACAGTCATTCCTGGGAACACACATGCAGGTAACATTATATGGCTTCAACAATTTATATCTAGGAATACACACACACAAGCACCACCACCACCAATAATAACAATTAGTGAAAAAAGAGGCCAGGATTTTGAAGGAGAGTGAGGAGAAGCATATGTAAAGGCTTGGAGGGAGTAAAGGGAAGAAAGAAATAGTGTAATTAAATTACAATCTCAAAAAGAAACAACAAAAACACAGACAGAGCAAAGGAATATAATTATCAAACAAAGGAATATAATTATCCTCAAACAGTGTACTAAATCACTAAAAAGAAAATATGAAAATGTGAAAGCAGGCTTGAGAGTCAACTTAGAGAAAGCACCAAAACAAACAAACAAAAAAACCCTTGAAGTGGACTTAAACAAGATTTGAGGATATAAATATCAAAAAATAGACTATACTTTTGTGGAGGTTTAGACTAGAGCTCTAAATGTAGAAGAATTTTTATTGTTTAATATTTTCAGATGATTTCATAACCAGGTCTGATATACAGATTTTATACTAAGTTTAGTTATTTAAAAAGGGAGATTGAGTTTTTACAACTATGTCCTAATAATTTCTACCATTACCCAAACTGCCTCATAATTTAAGAGTTTGGATTAAGCTCAGGGTAACATTGTGCTTTTTGTTTGCTTACCCGGAGATACAGATGGTTCTTGTTTTGTATTTGTTATTTAATCTCTGTAGTGACAGTGTTGGTTATAAAGAAAAAGCTCTCTCAAGACAAAAGTATTGACTGGTGAAAGCATTACTTGTAAAATTAGTTCCTATTTGAACTTTAAGCAGCCCATTCCTCACAATAGCAGTGACTTTTACCACCTCTTCAGTTCATATCTTTGTAAATTGGATTTTCTGATTATCATATCTTCCAAACATATGGCAATAAAAATGTGGTGCAGCCACCAGCTTAAAAAGTGATGATGTCACAAATAGTATTCTGATTTTTTTTTCAACTCTAAAGCCTGATTTAATCCTAGCGACAAATTAATGAGATGGGTTTATTTCCATTTCAAAGATAAGCCAACAATATTTAAAGGTGTTATTTTTCCAGTGGCATAAAACAATGAAATAAACAATCGTGAAATGTAACTTAG